GCAGAGGCTACCATCACCGTCAATGTTTTAAGTCTTCGCCGCAGGACCCCAGTGCCTCCTGTCTCCCAAAGTACGGATCTTACACTTCAGTTTTCCAATTTGGTGGAAAGTTCCTGACAATGGAAATTGATAACTCCTCTTGCAAACTTTGTAAGTGAAAGAAGCTAATTCAAGAAGAGAGTCCAAAAAAAGCCTTCGAGATCCATTTCCTCCGACGAGGTCCAATTGAGGCTTTCCTTCCCTTCCCTAACCAAACAAGGTAAAACAAAACCATCCCCCTCCCTTCCCAGTCCTTCACATCCATCCCTTCCCTCTCAACCAAACAAGCCCTTGAGGAATATAGTACATGTCAGGCAAGTGGACAGGGATTTGCACTTCAAATGCACGTATGAAAGAGTCCCCTTCTTTTGTGAAACATGTAGAACCCTTGGTCATAAAAGTTGCACCAGATAAATCACAGGTGATGATCATGGTAAATAGTTAAAGGAGCAAGATGCAGTGAAGGAAAAAGACAAGGAGAAGAAAGTTGAAGAGGAGCCTTGGCAGACAGTTCACAAGGAGGAGCCTTGGCAGAAAGTTGGGGGGGTGGAAGACACTTGATGGGTTCGAGAAGTGTACTTATGGTTGTTGACGGTGGGAAACGACAGTTGACGAGGGGTGACGAAAATTGAATTAGAACAATAAATTTGTTTTTCAATTTTTTTTGTCTTTTTCTCTTCAACTCAGATCTCCATAGATTTTTATTTTCAATTTCTTCAAAGCCCTTCCTTTTATCTTGAATCTATATTTGTTTTGATTTTCCACTTCCTTGTCACTGAGCGCAGTGGCAGGGTATAGATAGAGACTGAGAAGAAGAAAGAAAAAATTTAAGAACGGATAGAGATGGAGTAGACAGTGGGTGAATGAAGAACATAAAAATGGATAGAGGTTGAGACATGACTATATTAGTATACTATATTATGAAATAAGTGAAAAGAATCCAACAAAGTGAATAAAAATTGACCGTGTGAATATTGTATGAGAAGAACTAACAAGGACAAAAGGAGTAGATAAATCAAATTGCAAACGGCTTCAATCAAAAATCATGAATTGAATCATGAACAGTATTTAGGAATGGAGTATCATATACCATTTAAATTTGGTCAATTAGTTTTAACTTCTAAGAGAAAAATAAAGTAATCACACTAATGTTATTTATTGTGTGGTACACAATTTATTTTAAGGATAGTCAAGGACCCAAATAATGTTCTCGCAACTGCAAGTCTACATCACATAAACCCAAGCAATATACTCTCTCCATCCTTTAATAAACTTTACGTTTTGGTTTAGATTTTTTAAAGAAATTTATTTTGAATTCAATTTATTTACGTCTTGGTGTAAAGTTGAAAAATATTTATATATCTAAAAACTGCATCAAAAGCTCTACAATACCAACAAAAGACAACATAGTTTGACTATGTGAATAGTGAGAATGAAGTTTATTTAGCAATGAAGAAAATATCAAATGCTTGTGGCTTTCCTTTTTATTCTTTATAAGGCTTTTCAAAAAATAATTCTAAACTTCTCCAAAAAGTATTTTAAAGTGACCTTAAAAAATAAAAATATATATGGCTCAACAAAAAAAGGTTTAAAAAAACATCTCCGGAACACAAAAAGAATGCAAGGATAACTGGCTTGGGAGTGAAATAGAATTAGATCATATTAATAGCACTTAAAAATTTTTAAAGCAAAATATAAAAAGGTAAGAATGAAAGACAATAACTTAAGGTGACAGAAGAAAGGTACAAATTACAATAAAAACAAAGAATAAACTTAGCCTAAACTCATGCAAATTAAAGGTAAAGGAAACATGATCAGCGCTCCTTTGAAATGAAAAATGCAGTGGAGGCATAAAACTACACATCCAAACATGCATTTTGATATATGATTAATTAATTTTAAAATTAAAATTCCAAAACTTGCCAGTAAAACAGGTAGTAGGAGCCGTGAGCTTCCTGAAAAATGGGCTCTTAGTCCCCTAGCAAGATTCCCAATTGCTTGTATGGCTTCAACAGCTACAGCAATGTTCACATCAGTGATGACCTACAATGTAATGAATCAGCAACAATGCACCGAATAGAAACAAAAATGTAAATTATACAAGTAAAATAAGCACGGTGTTGCGCCAAAAACACTTCAAACGCTTATCATAAACTATAATCATCAGAATTTTAAAAAGTATATGCCATTTGGAATCGTTCAGATGAGAAATGAACAATCAATTAACATGCCTTCTTCAATGTGCGGCAAATTTCAGAAAAATCTCCAGGTG